AATTAAAAAAACTAAATATCTGCTACATTCCATTATCAGAAAGTGAAGAATACGACATTTGATGAATTCTTCGATGTATTCGTTATTAAGGGGTTCACTGTATTATGTGTCCCATAATCTTTCACGAACAATGTACAATACATACATTTTTCATTTACAATTTTCATGTGATGAACCTTGTACGAACCTTTTAATACAGCGAAATAGGAAGACAAATTTTACACTGCACAATTGCCATGTCTCATGCTTATTGGACTTTTCAAAGTTTATAACTTTGTTCTTAAAGTCTTGTACAAACTTTTTAATACAGTGATAACCAGAAAACAGCGAAATAGGGAGACAAATTTTACACTGCACAATTGCCATGTCTCATGCTTATTGGAATTTTAAAAGTTTATAGCTTGGTTCTAAAAGTCTTGTACGAACTTTTTAATACAGTGATAACCAGAAAACAGCGAAATAGGAAGACGAATTTTACACTGCACAATTGCCATGTCTCACGCTCATTGGACTTTCAATTTATCTCTTTGTTTTTTTAATGAATGCGGAGTAGTTAACCTGAACTGATTCATTAAGATTCAACAGTGCACCCTAGAACTTTGAACCGAACAGACGTATGAGCGATTAGTAGCGATCAAAGCACTTATATTTCGCATTACGCCTTTACACCCTTTCATTTTTCGCGAACACTCTCTTAACTTTTTTGAACCATTCAGTCACAAATTTCAGTTATTTTTAAAACATAAATGGTGTTTAAATATATGTTTTTTTAGCAAAAAACGATAAAAGATAAAAGCCCCCTCCCCCCCCCTCCCTAATAAACATTACCCCCTCCTCCTTCGAACCAAAAAGTGAGTATATTAATTCATAACTTTAAAAAACTTTTTTGATTGATTCAGATGACAGATAATAATTACATATGCACAACTAGTTTATTTCCTGGGGGGGGGGGGATTCCAGATAATTCACACTGTGCACCAATATGAGTTTTCGTAATCTCAAGGTAGGTTGGCGCTAGCCCCCTCACCTAAGTTGCGCCCCCTTGGATCAGTGAATTTTTCGTCAATTTTCCCGAATTTTTCCTGGGAACTTTTATTACTTATCTAAAACAATGCCCAACAAATGTCATTAAACCTCACCTTTCCTCTACGTCAAAGTGGGTAAAATCGCATTTCCTTCATACACACTGTGGTTCATCAATATCAGTATCCTTGTCCGTATCCGTTTCTGTACTCGAATCAGCAGGAAGATCATCTAGAAAATCAAAGTAGAGCCATTTCAGATAAACAAGCAATACCAAGGTTTATCTGGAATAATAGACAATATTTTGATAGTTACTGGTCACTAATTGAAAAAAGTTTGCCATCGCACAGCTATTTTTTTATAGATAGTTTAAACATCTGGTATATATTCCTAAAGAACGATTTTTTG